AACAATCAATATTTTTAAGAACAGTCGACAAAAATAAGGCTGCAACTGAAGCATCGTACCGTGTGCCCCAGATAATTGCACAAAAAAAGAAACCTTATGAAGACGGGGAAATTATAAAACAGGCGTTTTTAGAAGCTGCTGATTCGTTATTTGCCAACTTTATAAATAAAGACGAGATAGTTTCAGCTATAGAATCTATGCAACTTTCTGCTAATACAGTGATGAGACGTGTAAAAGTAATGAGCAATGATATTTTTTTACAGTCAAGAACTGACTTAGATAACTGTGTTTAGTTTTCACTTCAACTGGATGAATCAATAGATGTCGTTGACACTGCCCAGATGGCTGTGTTCATCAGGATGGTTTTTAGTAATTTTATGATTAAAGAAGATCTCTTGAAGTTTATTCCACTGAAAGTACACTCTACTGAACAGGAGTTGTTTTCTCATTTAAAAAATATTATTTCTTCCGAGAAAATTCCAATATCGAAAATGGTAGGCTTGACAACCGATGGCGCTCCAGCTATGGTGGGTTGTGATAAGAGTCTGGTGGCGTTATGTCGTAAAGATGAAACTTTTCCGCAATTTCTCTGTTACCACTGCATTATCCATCAGCAAGCATTATGAGGAAATTTCCTAAAACTAAACAACGTTATGAAACTGGTGGTAAAAATTGTGAACAAGATTAGAGCTCAAGCGTTACAAAGAAGATTATTCAAAACCTTGGCCGATGAAGTTGACTGTCAATACGGGGACCTTCTCCTTCACTCTGAAGTCCGATGGATAAGTAGAGGACGGCTGCTGAAACGTTTTAATGATGTCCTATCTGGCATAGTTCAATTTTTCAAACAACGCGATGAACCGACTCCGGAACTAGAAAATTCAATCTGGCTTAGAGATTTTGGTTTTCTCGTGGACATTACAGAGAAATTAAACGAACTTAATTTCCAGCTTCAGGGGAGAGACAAAGAACTAGCGGAAATGATTTCTGATATAAAAGCATTTATCAAAAAGCTCGAGTTTTGGGAACAAAACCTAATTAACAGCGATGCCAAGCATTTTCCTATTCTTTCAGAAAAAATATCTCAAAATCCATTAGAACCCCATGACAGCAAATATCATGTAGAAATAGTTTCTACCCTGAAGAATAATTTTAAAAATCGTTTTAAGGATTTCAACGAAATGGCTTTAGTAGCGCAGTTTGTTGTTTCACCCTTTATGGAAATTGATATCCAACAGTTTGCAACTTGTGTTATGCAGAACTTTGGCGAAGACATCGCTGCAATAGAAATGGAAGTAATTGAGTTTCAAAATGATTTAGCCTTAAAATTGTTAGTCTCAAGTACCAAATGTATCTGGCCTATTATAAGTAAAGACAAATATTCAGTTCTATGCCGTGTTCCCTTGAAAGTGAAAGCATTATTCAGTTCAACCTATTTGTGTGAATCTACTTTTTTCAATATGAAGTTTATTAAGAACAAATATCGCAATCGACTTACAGATGAACATTTGGATAATTGTATTCGAATGGCTGTATCAAATTATACTGCAAACATTAAAAAAATAATTGATGAGTCTGAGTGTTAGCCTTCTCATTGAACGTGCTTTTTTATTTTTCAATGTTTATGTTCATGATAGTGCATTACTTTTTTGTTGTTATTATTAACTATTTTTAAATCTTACGTGACATGCCGTTGTAGCTGGATAAAAATTTGTGTTTATTTTTCAAACACCTTCGTTTGGTAGGTAGGAATGTAGTTATGAACAAGTACGTACTAGTAATATTAGTTATTTTGTTATTAGTTCATTATTAGTACCTATGTATTATGTATTACCAATTAAATAGTAAAATAAATACATATAATGATAAATTAACTGTGGATTATTTCATTTAGGTTACGTGGCTTCCGTGTGGGTAGCTCGCTGTTTATTCCAAAATTAACAAAGTAGCTCAACATATTGAGAGGTTGGCGACCACTGGTGTAGAAAGTCAAAGTGAAAAACACCTAGCCAATCAAAAAACACTGTTGCCATTAACTTTCCGGTTGACAATCGCGTCTTTGCTTTCACGGATACACCTTTTCACGCCCTCCAAAAAATTCTTGGTGGTATGCAAACACACAAGTTCTTAACAGAGTGTTATCCCCAAACTGTGCCCGCAATCGTCGCAAAATTTCGGTTGCTTTTACTCCCTCTTTTGCCCAAAAACGTTATTATAATCCGTTGCTCCACGCAGACACGCACTTCTTTCTCGCTTATTGTTTATATTTGTTATACCCCCGTATATCTGGTCACCTAGTTGGTAATTTCAGTATTTTTAACAACCAGGACACCAGATTTACAAACTCTGGTGGTCTAGTGGTTATGACGATGGGACGGAGATCCAGAAGTCGCGAATTCGAGCTCCGCCCAAAGCAGATTACAATTTATAAAACTTTTATTGGTTTGTTATCGTACCTAACATTTCTTTCGGCAATTTAAACTGACAAACTTTTCATATTAAACCTTCAGTTTATTCACCATCAATATTAAATCTTATATTACAATAAAATAGGTTTAAATGTGGCAAATTATTCTTCAGTTATCATTCAAGAAATTCTCTACATCTAATAATATTGAAGTTATTATATTATTGCAATAATAGCTTTATATTATATATTCAGACTCCAGAACAGGTCTAGAAAGTATCTATTCAAATAAAGTCACTATTTCACCCGAGGAATATAAGAGAAACGAAACTACTTATCTATGAAAATGTCTCTGCAGGGTCTTCCAGAAATCCCTGCTGATAACCAAAGGGCATGACTTTATATCCCGAGATTGTGCAACGTCAGTGTTTTTTATTGGAATAGCAATACACTTTTCTCAATCAAGATTTCATTATAGATAGCTCGAATTTTAATATCGGATTCAATTCCACTTTGACGGATCCGGATTCTGTAAAATGAAAATGCATAAATTTTCAGTAATAATTGTTCCTCTTTTCTCGATTATTCTTTTTACTTCGCAGAGAAGTTCTTTATCGATTTTAAATGTTTTCCTAAGAGAAAAGAGTTTCACTTACATTTTGTTACAATTTCTTCGAGAAACTGCACAATTGTAATTTTTTATTAAAATAGGTAATCTTAGAATTCAACAAAAGCGAAATAAAGCTTTAAAAAATATACATCTTCTGTTTTACTCATTAAAATTATGTCTCAGATTTTACAGTACCATTAAAATAATTTATAAATGTTGACAGATATTTAGGGGAGGGTGGTCTATTAAAGAATATGGTTTATTGTTTTTTTTTCAAGTGTCATACCACTTTATATTTTGTTATCACTTTGTTCGAATAAATATTGAGAAATATATTTATTCAATATTTACTGAAGCAGAGAAAGCTATTTTAGTACAGTACTTGCTATTCTAGAATCGCAAGTCCCATACATTTTAATAAATGTTCTTGCAACTAACTAATATTGTTTTTTTATAGATATTTATAATACTGAAGAAAAATAGAATTTTTAAAAATCTCTAAGATATCCTTGATGTTTCAGAATTACAATTATATTAAAAATTAGACGTTAAACAAACAGGGCTATACCATAAAAAATAAAAATTTAAAATTAACATTTTGTACCTTTTTCAAGAGTCGTTTTACCCATCCGGAGACAGACTGTATATTATAAATTTGAGGCAACTTTAATGGATATACCTATATATTATGTATTATTAAAGTTTAAATTTTAATTTTCTTTTGAAATATGATAAAGTTAACAACAATTTACCGAATGTTTAATTTCAATAATGGACGAAATATAAATAATTTCATAAAATATTTATTAACCTAGTTAAACCGAATACGAATATAGAAATAACAATGAAACAAAGTAAACAACCGAAACAACAAAACTCTCTTGTTTCCCGTTCGGTCGTAATAGATCAATAAATAATATTATTTACTTTGATCAACTTAATTTAACTTAAATTAATAATGTTTAATTAACTGCATCATTAATTAATGAAATAATAATTGTTAATTCAATGGTGGTTGTTACAAACTTTTACAAACATAAATACAACTGTTTTCTATCACTACATCAAAAACTTTGTATAATTACAAAATAACATCAATCAAATTATTGTAAAACAAAATTATTTATTGAAAATTTCAAACATCAAAAGCATTTTTCACAAATTTAAAACCAGAAACTTAATATTTAGCCTAATTATAATTCATAAAAATGAATACATTGAGAATACCAAGAACTTTCATCACAGTAACAACTTTTGAGTTTTTGCAGAGAATCCCATTTAACCCTTTCATTGCTAAGCCTGTGTGCACCTCGGCCGTATAATCTGTATTGGCCTAGCCAGAAGTTACTTGACCTCGGCTACGCCTCGGCCGAAAATTGGTTCATATATAACTATTACTCCACAACTTTACATATCTAGTGATTGATCCCATAATGGAAGTATTTTAGATGTTTGTTTTTAACAACAATAATTATTTTAATAGTTAATTTGCCACACCTTGTAAAATGGCTTTGATGATTGCTTTGTAAGCCTAATATTTAAAAAATTATCCAATTTTTACACACACATAAAAATAATGTTTATTAAGAATACTGAGTTTGTTATTTATTATAATTTTCCAAAAAAAGAGGTGCTTTTTTATTCTAAGTCTACCGCTCTCAATTTCGTAAACACAATACACACTCCCCCATTTCCAAAGCTCCATATCGTGGTATATAATGATCAAGATATAATGCCGTAAAAAAAGTTCGTGATAACCATTATAAAATATCCTATGTTGCTAAAATAATAAAGTTATCGACAGGTTTTGATTTATTAGGTCGAACCGAATCAATATCCAGTGTTCATATATCAGCCAGACAGTTTATATGGTAGATGCCGGGAGTAAACTGAATCTTTTTACGGATTTTACCCGCATGCAATATTCTCCTTGAAAATTGCAAGAGCTGATACAACGTTTTTAAAAAGATGAGTCGTACTTACGGTTTGTCTGGTATTCCCCGCCTTGACTGGCATAATGATTGATGAAGTTGCCTGAAAAAAAAAAAAAGTTTTCTTATTTAAAATCTTTGAAATGTAAGTGCTTGTACTCTCATGTTGTAAAATATGTAAATATTGCTATGCAGGTTTAATTTTATGTAAATACCGTTGCCAAATTTTGAAAATAATTAGGAAACCTTTGAAAGTTCCAATAATTGTAGCTACAGAAAAGAAAAGCAGCTGTAAATCGTTGTGATGTTAGCCAATAATAAATACCAGTCAGTAGTATGTTCTATGTATGTTATCTTTTATTGTTTTTGTCTGGAGTCTAATATTCCCCTTATTTAGAATAATTAAACAAAAACAACAGTACATTCTTTTAACAAAGAATAATAGAAAACAGCTTCGTTATATGTGCAGCAAAAATATTATTTCACAATATTGTTTCAGTTTCAGTAATTGTTGTAAGACGTCTTGTTGTCAAAGTGGTACAATATCTCCCCCTTTTTTACAACCTAGATAAATTACAATTCTACATTTTCATATTTTATTTTGATAAACATTCACTATTTTTCTCCATAATGTTTCAATTCCCATTTTCAACTGTAGCTAAAATAACACAATGTTACCTTTTTATTCGACTCAACGAATGAATGGAAATTTCTGTAACTTCTGAAACAAGATTCATAAATATTCTTGTCGCAAAGATATTTGACGAAGTTTTATGCTATTCACGTTGCTTAGTAATCAAGACTTTACTGATACACAATTTCTCGGAATCTTTGGAAAACTTACGGAATCATGAATTAAATGAAATTATTTGTACACTAATTGTGAAAGTAAGATTTAATTCAATGGGAAACGCTGATGCTTTTGAATAATGATACCTTATAAAGGGAGTAACTCACAGGTTAAATTTAAAAGACCTATTCGCGGAGTTGAAACTCTGAGATATATTCAGCTAGAAATGCGGGTGGAAGATTAATTTTACCTCGTTATGCAGTTTTTAATAGCGATATATCATGGCAACGGTAATTGAAAGTTTATTAATTAAAATTAATTACTTCAACTCTATTGGTTAAAGTAGGTGAAAGTCGATTGAACAGTTGCGTTTTTCAGCACTAATATCTCTTTTATAAAATGTTTTATCAAAGTTTTTATCAAGTTTTTATCAAGTTTTCATCAAGTTTTTATCAAGTTCTGTCAAAGTTTTTATTAAGCTTTCGGTTAAAGTTTTTATAAATGTTTTATGAAAATTTCCATTAAAATTTAATAAAGGTTTTCATTTAGGTTTTATTAAGTATTTTATTGTTTTTATTTAGGTTATTATTGATTTATTTAAGTTTTTATTAGTTATTTTTTTTATTAGGTGTCATCGGCATCGACTACTAAGGCCATTATCCTCGTGTTCTGTGTAGGCTTTGTTACTGTTTCCCAACGCCACTTTGGAACAGCACAGTCAATTAGAACCCAACAGTGAATGGTGGAGTGAGGAATCCTACCAAGGCATCGGAATTAATTTTAAATAATTCAATTAAATAAAAAAAATCCCGGTTTTTTAAAGGTCTTTTTTTTTATTTATTGTTTTCATTATTTTTTATTATTGTTTATTGTTTTTTTGTTTTTTTTTATTGTTTTTTTATTGTTTTTTTTTCTTGTTTATTATTTTTTTATTGTATTTAATTGCAAATGCTGTTTTATTTTTATTAAAATCTAATGATTGTTTTTTGTTTTTTAATATTTTTTATTGTTTGTTTTTTATTGATTTTTCATTGTTTTTTTTTTTTCGTTTTTGTTTTTTTTTTTTCGTTTGTGTTTTTTTTTTAATTTGTTGTTTATTGTTTTCATTTTTTATTTTTTTATAGTTTTTTATTGTTTTCTTATTATTTTTTTGTTTTTTTATTTGTCATTGTTTTTATATTTTTAATTTCAGATGCTGGTTTTTATTAAGGGTTTTATAAAGGTTGTTATTAGGGAGTTTATGGTTTTCATTAGGGTTTTTAAAAGTTTTGTTAAAGTTTCTATTAAAATTCTAATTTAGGTTTCTTATTACGGTTTTTATTTAGTTTTTTTTGTTTTTTATTATTTTCTATTTGTATTTTTTTGTTTGTTTTGTATTTTTTTATTGTTTTTTATTGTTTTCTAATTATTTTTAGTTTTTATGGCTTTATTGTTTTTTTATTGTTCTTTATTGTTTTTTATTTTTTTTGTTTTTGTTTTTTTTGGTCTTCGTTGTGTTTTTACTGTTTTCTTATGTTTTTTTAGGGTTTTTAAAGGTTTTGTTAAAGTTTTTATTAAAATTCTTATTGAGGTTTCTTATTATGGTTTTTATGTTGTTTTTTTTATGTTTTTATTGTTCTTTTATTTTTTCTAATTTTTTTATTGTTTTTTTTTTCATTGTGTTTTATTTGTTTTTATTTTTTTATTGGTTTTTTATTGTTTTTTTGTATTCAATGTCTTTTAATTGTTTTTTATTGTTTTTTATTATTTTTTGTGTTTTTTTATTGTTTATTATTATTATTTTATTTTTCATTCTCTTTTTTATTAAGGGTTTTATTAGGATTGTTATTGTTTTTTTATTGTTTTTTTATTGTTTTTTTGTTTTTTATTGTCTTTTATTGTTTTTTATTGTTTTTTATTGTTTTTTATTGTTTTTCTATTGTTTTCTTATTTTTACTGTTTTATCTTTATTTTAATTGTTTTTATATTGGTTTTTTTACTGTTTTTAAAGGTTTTGTTAGTTTTAATTAAAATTTTTATTGAGGTTTCTTATTAAGGTTTTTATATTGTTTTTGTAATGTTTCTTTTTTATTTTTTGTTTTTTTAATGTTTTTTATTGTTTTTTTTATAATTTTTTTTGTTTTCATTGTTTTATTTGTTTTTGTTTTTTTGTTGGTTTTTTTTATTGGTTTTTTTTATTGTTTTTTGTGTTTGTTTTGATTTTTTTGCTCTTTTTCTGTTTTTTAAATTTTTTATTGTTTTTTATTATTTTTTTGTGTTTTTTATTGTTTATTATTATTTTTTTAATTTTCATTCTCTTTTTTTGTTTTTTTATTAAGGGTTTTATTAGAATTGTTATTAGGTTTGTTATGGTTTTTATCAGGGTTTTATTAAAATTTAATGAAGGTTTTCATTTAGGTTTTATTAAGCATTTTATTCTATTTATTTAGGTTTCTATTGATTTTTATTAAGTTTTTATTAAAGCTGCTATTAAAGTTTTTATTACGGTTTTCATTAGGATTTTTATAAAGGTTTTTAATAACGTTTTTTTATTAAGGGGTTTATTAAGATTGTTATTAGGGAGTTTGTTATAGTTTTTATTAGGGTTTTTAGAGTTTTTATAAAGGCTTCTATTAAAATTTTTATTGAGGTTTCTTAATAAGATTTTAATTATTTTTTTAATAGTTTGTTTTTTTTTTTTTTCATTTTTGTTTTTTTTTTTTTCATTGTTTTCTATGGTTTTGTATTTTTTTTTGTTTGTTTATTTTTTAGTGTTTTTTTCAATTGTTTTTCTGTTGTTTTTTATAGTTTTTTATTGTATTTTATTGTTTTTTATTGTTTTTTTATTGTTTTTTATTGGTTTTTATTGTTTTTTATTGGTTTTTATTATTTTTCATTGTTTTTTTATTGTTTTTTATATTATTTTTAATTTAAGATGCTGGTTTCTATTAGACGTTTTATTAAGGTTGTTATTAGGGAGTTTGTTATGGTTTTCATTAGGTTTTGTTAAAGATTTTATTAAAATTCCAATTTCGGTTTTTTATTACGGTTTTTATTTAGTTTTTTATTGTATTTGGAATGTTTTTTATTTTTTCATTGCTTTTTAATTGTTTTTAGTTTAATTGTTCTATTGTTTCTTATTGATTCTTATTGTATTTCTGTTTTATTGTTCTTTATTCTATTTTTTTTTTATTGTTTTTTATTTTTTTTTGTTTTTTATTTTTATTTTCTTATTGTTTTTTTATTGTTCTTAATATTCTTTATTGTTTTATTATTTTTGGTTTTTATTTTTAATTGTTTTTATATTGTTTGATTTTATTTTTAATAACAGATGCTAAATAAAAATAAGTTTTGTTTTGAAAGCTACATCTTGATTGTAAACACACTCAAAAGAGAACCACATGGATTAATACCATAATAAGGGAAGAGAAAACTATTTCTGTTATGTAACAATTCTAATATGGAAGTAGAGGATGAACCCAATGTTAATTTTAATTAGGAAATTCCAACTGTACCATTTATATCTCACGAAAGTAATTCTTCTGTTTATTGCCAAATTGAAACCGACTCATAAAACTAAAATGAATTCCAATTAAAACTAACAACTTTCAAAACTAGCATTTTCTCTTCTATATAAATCAAGAACAATACTAACAGCTATAAAACTATATTAGCGCTATAACGGTATAAATCGTCTTTTAAATTTTCTCAAACTTCGAACATACGTTAGAGACTGGGGGATTTCGCGGGCACTAGAGCAAAAAGTCATTCGTCTTCTGAAGTTTTAACCATAGTCGACGGGAGACTCAATTCTTATGTTGTATTACAACTTTGGTGGGATTCAACTAGACAGAATGCAATTTTAACGCTTCCTGGATGTTTATTGTTAAGTTTGGTGGGTGATTTATGTGATGTTGCAGCTATCAGATGAACGACAGAACAATGTTGGTTTGATGAACAATAAAATTTGTTTTATGGTTATGAATTTATTTTATATTAAAAGCAATAAAGTATATAAATTAAATTATATTGATTTCAGAAAACACTAATCAGAACATTACAACAGTTATATGAAAAACAAAAATAATTCTACTTATTCAAATTATATTTTGACTGAAACTCATTATTTTATAGAACATTTTGAGAGTTTAGATATAATAGTTTATTCAAAAAAGATTGTTTGGTATACATTTTTTTTTAATAAGATATTTTCGATCAGTCCGTTCTGGCTTTAATCCTTTTAGTACCTCCATTTTTTCAGTTACCACGAATATTCGAAAAAAATAAATCAACCTTCTAAATTTTTACGAAACGCCCATGTTTGACA